GGTAGAAAGTGTAAAACGTTATTGATAAAAATGCTGCAAGAGGCAATTGATAAAGAAAGTACTCATTGTAAATTCCATATTATCTCAATTGATAAAAATGCTGCAAGAGGCAAATGATAAAGAAAGTACTCGTTGTAAATTCCATATTATTTCAATTGTCATTCATCCCGTCACTCAAGCAGTGTTATCATGACTAGTCTTGAATAATTGTTGGTACTGAACTTCAACTGTATTTAGACTGAGGGGGAGGAAAAAAAAGAACAAGAACGATTACTGAATCTAATGACTTGATTTGGCATATATTCCTAGTTATGGTTGTTTAAAGAAGCAAAGCCTTATCTTCTCTCTCTGCACTGCTAATTCATGGGAAAAAAATCAATATAATGTTTATCCTTGGAGGTCCTGGCATTTGATTTCCAGTTTTAGTACTCTGATAAACAGAAAAATTTTCAGCAAGTTGATATCAAGTTTATTGTATGGCTGAATTATCAGATTGCAGAGGATGTAAGGGAGAGATGGGATACCAGTGATCATCCTGTTGTCCACAAAATCCAGGAGTATGTTGTGTTACTACTTTCTAGACTTGTCAGAATTTAAGATATGTTCATAGTTCTGATTTTACCTATTTATTGTGGCAGTCTAAATGAAACTGTTTTTGGAGAAACAGATACTGCAATGTCATTCAAGGAGATACGTCAAAGAGATCCGTATGGAAAACCTCTACTTTCTGCAAGCTTTTGATGTTTATCAAAAGATACTTGATAAAATGATATAAATTTGGTATCTTCAGGTCTTTTTCTCTGCCAGAATTTGTGTCTGAGGTTCAAGAAGTGGTAAAACCAGTCTTAAATGCTTATTTCAAGGTGAGTTTAGCCCCATCTACACTCTCATTCCCACATAATGGCCTTGGCATCTTTTCATGCCTGTTGATGTGGATGATAAATTAACATTATAGTCCATCTCCATATACAGAAAGATTTTGAAGTTCTGAAGAAGTATTGTAGCTCCGAGGTGGTTGAACGTTGCAAGGCTGAGCACAATGCTTTTGAAAGCCAGGATATTTTTTTCGATCACAAGGTTGGGGAATTCGAATTGCAATATTTATACAAGTTCAAGATACATATATGAATGTTGTAAACAGCTTTTTTTGACCTACATATCTGGTTACTTGAGAATTTAGTAGTTTTGATAAATTTGCATCTTTACGTTGCTATTTTCCATTACATGAGAAGTGAATTAGTTAGGGACTCGGAAAAGTATCATCCCAGATAATCACTAGGACATTCAGAAACCATCAAAGTGCCTAAATAACAAGTAGGGTTTGATTAACCATCTTTGACTGTATCAATGTGAAGGTTTGGGGTTGCAAATGCATTATCCCTGGCTTGAAATTTGCTATAATCACTAGCTTGGGATGATGTTGATCATGTCTTGAAGTTATTTAACATGTTTGTTTATTCCAAAATGCCAAATGATGTTGCGTTGCATTTATGCAGATTTTACATATATCAGATGTGGAGGTTAGAGAGACCAAAATGATGGGAGACTCTCCAATAATTATTGTGACTGTATAAACTTCTCTCTCTCTCTCTCTCTCTCTCTGTTCCTGAAGTAACAGAATGCTGAGTGTTCAAATTTTTTTTTATTTTTATATGGAGTGTTGCATTTACACGTTGAAAATGTTGATGTGCAGTTCCAAACACAACAAATCTACTGTGTACGTGATAGACATGGTGCAGTGACAGAAGGGGGCAAGGTGAAATTGTGTGACTCTTTTTTCTCTCTAGTCATTTGCATCACATATGCCTGCATTTGGTAGCATCTTTAGTTCCACAACTTTTTTGGCAAAACAGAAAAAGGAAACCATATGCAACTGTTTTTGTTATTATTGGAAACTTTCCAACATTGAGATATAACAATGCTGTTTTAGAAGTAGGATTATTATTGAGAGTATGTTTTCCAAATTCCACAATCATATTCATTACTGGTTACATGGAAACGAGCAAGTGAAGAAAGAAAAGGCAAAGGTTAAGGTGAAATGAGCAAAGAACAGTAAAGAAAGAGTCTAGGAGATGTATTGTATGGTGAAAGGCTGCGCCTCAATCCTCTTGTCTGTTTTGTTTCTTGGTATTTAATATTCATTGCTGACTTTTGCCTGTTAATGTTGTTGGTAATTCAGGATACCATACATACTGTGTACTATGCTTGGGCCATGCTGCAAGTGCCTCCCGAAGAACTTGGAGAAGGTGCCATTTACCCAATTTGGAGGCTTAGAGAAATGCAACAATTTGGAGTTCAGGCACTCATCTGAGATATCCAGCGTGTTGCTCTGGTAGTATAATCTTCTTGGTTACGTTTCGTGGGGAAGGAAAACTTTTTTGGCGTGCCCAAGGGTAGCTGTTTCCCCCCAGAAAATTGAGGATCACAGAGGATGGGAGACGTCCCTTTCTTTTAGAGCTTGATCTTAGATATTTCTTTCAAAATTTTGCTCGAGTATGTACTTCACCATTGAATGAGTGACTGATTTTAATTTAATATTACTCATTGTTGTGAGCTGGAATTGTTTCTTGGTTATAGAGTTCCAGGCCTTTTTTTTAGAGAAGGTATATTGCGACAATTCGTGTTGCTGCTCCCCTTCTAATCCCTTTGTGCCGGGTATACCCCACATATCTCTGTGTGGAATGAATGTGACCATACGGCACTGGGGATTCCACTGTATCAGATTACAATTCACGCCATTGGAACTCCTCGGCAGCATGTAGTAATTGCTAAATTAGAAGACTGCTTAATAAGCAATGAAAGCTCTTCGTTTCAAACTCGGTTATCCTAAACTATTAGCGCCCTTGTGGCTGTGTTTAATATTTGATGTGCGAGTTGGGGCAAGGATGGTTGCAGGTAGCAACCGTCTGGAAGGTTGCCGGCCGTGATTTGGCTCAAAAAAAATGTAAGGCCCAGATCTTATATAACGATTTTAACATTATTATGTGTGGGCTTACAAAATTTTGCGACACAAAGAAAGCTACGAGAAGCCTAGCAGCAGTGGACATTCTTAACAGGATCAAGAAGGAGAGGAAGTTGAAGACCATTTTTGACACCTCGCACTCGTGATGGATCAGCCTTGCTTGCTTGGATATCTATAATTGTGTCACTTGGCACTTGGCGGCCATGAATGAATGAATCAATCAAAGGCTCCTCCTTATTCATCTGATCTGCCTATGTAATCCATTTCTATTCATTGTGTGAGAGATGCAGCGGTTGCCTTTCTCCTCGTCCAAGCGGTAATTTGGGAAGCAGTCTTGCCTAAGTTGTAACGAATGGGCTTGTGAAGAAATATCCTGTTGGGTGCATGGGAAAATAATTTGGTGGGCAAGAACGTAGCTTAATCGCATTTGGAACTTTTTTTGAGTATGGGGAGGTGGTTCTGGTTGGCCCGGTAGACGGTCCCTGCCTCATCCTTCACTGCCTGAATTGTATGAATTCTCCAAATTGCATGTGAAAGTACAATTTCACGCAATGAACAATAAACAAGGAGGTAAAAGACCCCTCAATAGGGTGGCAAAGAATTGACAGAACACAGGTGGAAGATGTACTTGTCCTACGATTTCTGTCTTAGGATCAAATCTACCGCAACTTTGATTTGCCCACTTCCGTTCCAACTTTCTTAGTCAAATTAAGCCTTTTTTCAAGTTAAAAATCAGCATGAACCGAGCAAAGTATGCCCTGCAAAAGGTGATCATGAGTAACCTTTTTTATGTTCTTTGTGTCCATCTTTATTCATAAAGAATCTCGCAAGTTGATCAAAAAAGCGGAGAGGCAGAAGTAAATTATACTACTACTACTCTTAACAAATAATAACAATTGGTCGCCAACCGAAATTTGGAGTGGTGATGGGAAGATAGGCGCCGGGAGGGATTGGGAACCCAAAAGAAAAGCAGTCCGACACTAACTGTCTTCTCTGCATCCTTCCCGTAAGATGAGTGCAAGAAGTTTTGATCGCAAGCGATTCAAAAGTAATTACTACTGTCATTTGCTTCCCACCCCAAACAGGGCCCCCCTCCAATTCCAAATCATTTTCAGCTTGTGCAGAAAGAAAGAATTTTAGTGATAACTAGAGCCCCCCCCGGAGTATGATTATCGCGATTCACGAATGCTATCAGCAATAACGAATCAAAAACACTTTGTGCAGGCTTGCTCGGTCACTCGTAGATCTATCATTCTCGTGTTCATTGGAGGTATTTAACTTTTGAATATTCATCTCAAGTAAAACCCTAAACTGTGGGTAGTCTGATAGCCTAGTACGTATGGTCAACATCAAGCACCACAGCAACTAGGATAATCCCACGTCCCAACGAAATCAAATCGATGTATTGTGTCACCTACAATCATACACAGACTTCCAGAAATTTATTGCTAATCAGCTGGTCAATGTTGGCTCAACTTCCAGCTAGTTCAGCAACACAATTTTTTCCTCCTCTTCTCTTTTTTTTTTTTTTTCTCCTAAAGAGAATCAATGGTAATTTCTTATTTACTCTCTTAATGACTTAAACTCGTGATCTGTGGATTACTGCAGGTTAAGCAATGCACTTTGTTATTAACTAGGATGCGCTTTGTTATCGAGTTAAGCGATGCACGTCTGAACTACCTTAGGAAAACTCGACAATATGACCAATTAGAATAGCACAACATTCGGCTTAGATCCATGACCTTGACGTCTGCCAGGGGACGCATTCCGATTCTGGAATATTGTTGTATATGGCAAAAGGCAGCATCAATTTATTGAATGGATGAGGAGCAAGTAGCAGAGATCAAGAATTTGAAAAAGCTCCGAGAGGTCATAATCAGCTAATCCTGTCCTATCCTATCCTCAAGATGGTAAATTAACTATTAATAACTCTGCGGAAACTATACGCATTTTGACAGCTACTGGCTGCTTTTTCTTCTCCTCCGCGTCAAACAATTAGCGTAAGAATTAAGTGATCACTGGTGCAGCAGAGCATCGTATGCCGACCCATGCAGCAGGTTTTAGCAAGTATAAAAGAAAACCCACTCCGGATACTGGCATACCTTCCCATCCCGTCCACCATCTCCTTGCTGTCTCTATGTCTTGCTTGAGCTTCAACAAACTCTTGCCTTCGAGAAAGGCGTGGAGGGTCTTCACTGACAAAGTGCAAACCAAATTACACAAGCTTCATCCATCCAAAACCATCAAGAAACCCAAGAATAGGCTGAAGAAAACTGGCAAAAAGACTTCTTGCTGGCCTGCCTTTTGTACCCAGTCCAAAGTCCAGCGCAAGAGATTCAAACACAAGCCATCACAAACACAAACTTTACGCTCCTACTACGTCCATAAAAGACCGTCGGCTGTGTATATTGACCGGCTGTTTATCGAGCCTGCTGCGGTTTCCTTGGTTAGGGTGCATTCGCAGCCACCCAAGAAAGCTGCTGCAACAACTGCTAGCAAGGAGTACCAGGAGGTATGTCCATCGACGCTGAATACGGAGAAGCCTGAGCTCGTTGATCAACGAGAAAATACGGCAGGAACGAGCAAAGAAGAGGAGAAACTGAACGAGAACATGCATTCTGCAGATGATATGTGGGAATCGCTGGTGCTGGCATCGCCACAGATGAACGGAATTAACGAGAGAGCAGAGGAATTTATTACTCGATTCCGCGCAGAGATGCTGCTTCAAGAGCAGCTGGCTCATTACTTGTAGCAATTAATTGAACGCTTTCTTGCTTATCTTTCCCGCCGTGTTCCAGTAACATGTTTTAGAATAAAGCGTAATTTTGGTGACGTACACATTTGCAAGTGGTCATTCTGGCCAGGAGGCGCTATTGATTTACAACGTTCTTGTTTGTTGGATACATAAAAGAACCTCCAGCGGCAAGACTAGGCTTTAAGGGCGGTCAACTAACTTTTTGCTTCTTTTCTTGGAAGGAAAAATTCGAGGGTCTGCTGATAAATTTCCAATCTTACATATTCGCGCACGAATTTGCTCGGTTGATCCCGAACAGGCTCAGTATAGGGCTTAACCCCAACATACTTGGATAGCAGTGCATTCGCACAGCATATAAACTTGAATAAATATCTAATTATGTACAGCCACGAGACACACAAACATCCTCCCATATGTACAAAAGTTTCCCACGGATTTTATTTGCTATAAAAAGTGGAAAACAAGAGGTTTTACAGCAGGTAGAGTCAACAAGCAGAACCAACCAAGATCACACGTACATAGTCACTCTCACTCTAGTCCTGCACCAAAACACGGCATACAGAGATGAAAAAACCTCGACCAATGAACTCCAGACCTATCAGCATATCCCCTCTCCACAATTTTGTGGTATCTTACACCAACGTCAGCTACAGGAAGTCCTTCATTGGATCATCATGATGGATTCTCTTCATCCTATATGCTTCCATCTCCTCTGGCGTAACCTGATAGATACAAGGTGGGGACAGGTGAGTAAACCGCAAGAATAGGCGGGAGAAAACAAAATGAAGCTGACAATGGAACAAGTGGGCGGACCTCATCATTCCACTTGACATTGTACTTGCGCTTCCTTTCATCCTTCTCTTCCCTTCTCCTTTCATTCTCCTGCTCAAAAAGATCCACGCAACACATATCAAGTCATACACAAATCCTAGCAAACCAATTACAAAAATGTATCACAAAAATCTTCTTTACCTTCTTGAGTGCTTCAGCCAGCTTTTTCTCATCCAGAACCAAATCATCAGGAACTTCAGTTCCCCATGTAGCAAGCCTCTTCTCCTCTACTGGATCTGGCGTTTCTGGTTTTACAATGACAGTTCAGATCCATATACATACCAATATATGAACTCATCCAGAAAACCTCAATTTAGAAATTAAGTTCCCATCTTATAGCACAAGTTGTCAGGTTACAGACACCAGTATACCAAACTTTCATTCAGAGGTCCAACAGCATATCGAATTATTGCTTTATGTATTGAAATCTTTGCTCCAACATTGTTATTTGATAACTTTGAAAAAAAAAAAACAACAATAAAGACAATTTAAAGATGGAACCTTAAAAACTATAGCAACTTGTCGAAAATGGCGTTTAAGAGAAACTAACCTTCAGCAGCCTCTTTACGGGCAATATTTGCCCTCATAAGATCTGCTGCAGCTTCAGCAGCTTCAATTCCAGCAGACCCAGTGCAATAGCTGTTTCTGACGGTCTGCTTGCAGCACTTGTAGCCCCATTGATGATCCTTCCACCACGAACCCCAGACGCATGTGTGGTTGTTGATGAAAACATCTTCCTCATACTTGCTACGTGGAAGGGATGCCTCCTAGAGAAAAGCACATACACAATGAATTAGGACATTAAAGCATTTGAACGCAATCTTAGCATAAAAAATCCTCCGCTACATGCCAGCTGATCCTCCCATGCGGAAAAAGAACAAAGTCAATAGAAAAGTGCCCTGATCAACGTTTTAAAACTAATTTGACACATTGCATTGTGTGAAGACAAAATTGTAAACTGAAGTATAGCATGAAGCTGAACAAAACTCATAAATTGACTGGTCCATCACAAACAGGAAAAAAAAATAAGTAAATCGAGATGAAGGTAAAGACAGTTAATTATACAAATAAGCACAATACGAAAGATATCCCTATGTGTAAAATCAAGTGATGACCTCATCAAAAGCCATTGAAAAGAAAATTTGGCTTCAATTAATCTCCATACAACAGAGTCTCTCTAATATTATTTTGAGCTCAATGAGTAAAAATTGAATCGTTCGAGTATAGATATTCAATAAAATTTATCTTCCAATGCCATTCAATCCCAAATATTGTTGCAAATCTTGAACACCCTGGGATTTCACCAAGCCTCCCAATTTAGGAGATAGTGATTAAGATAACCCACATTAGAGTAAAATAGAAGCTAATGAATAGGCAAGCACGCAATCTTAACTCTTTTATCTCATCACAGCAAGACCGAACCAAATTTACAAAGTTTAGGTAAACAAGAGAATATAACAATTAATTTTGTTATCACCTGGCCCTTTACGATCCTACCAGCACGGTCATATTCGACTTCTCTTTCACTTTGACCAAGTAGAAGTTCTCTTGGAAGTTCTTCTTCAGCAGCTGCATTGCCATACTTCTCCATGATACTCTCTTTTGTTTGACCCTTCAGTTTCTCCTTATTGATCGTATAATTTCTGTAAAGTAATTCAGCTTGGGATGGAGCTGCTTGCATATGAATATCGTGGCCCTTATCAAATGCTTCCCAAGCATGAATGTTCAGCTGCTTGAACTCTAAAGCTTGACCGCTTAATCTGTTTTGGTTATCTCCCTGAAACATAAAGAACCAAAAATTGGTACCACCGGAACATATACACGAAAAATGATGTATTACAGAACAAAGGAAACCAAACATAAGACGACTTTTGGAGTAGAAGTGTCCTTACAACATAGAACTTCTCATTTGGATCCATATCAGGAAGAGGATCTTCACGCATAGAACGGGTTTTGGGGTCATAGTATGCAGAATTGACATCAAGATTAAGAAGATACTTTGCTGTATCTTCTCGAATACGCAAGTTCCTGACAAAAAAGATGCATCAGTACACAGTATAATTCAAAAGAGTAAATATAGATGAAAAATTGGACCATGCAGAGAAAAGCACAGAACAATGTAAAAAAACTCACAACGCACATGTCCGCCGGAAGTGACAAGAGAGAGGAAAAAAATTACCTGACAGTTCCAGTGCTCCCACCACCTGTAGTTCGAACACGCTTCTCTACCTTAGCAAAGTCCATCTGCTTGCTCTCATCAACTTTAGCTTCATCTACTTTCAAAGCATCTTCAAAATCCTCTTCATCACTGTCCCCTTCTTTGTTCTGGCTATTGTTCTTCTCCTCCAACTGTTTAAGCTGTTGTTCCTTCAAAAATTTCTTTCTTGCCTCATCTCTTGCTTCATATCTTTCAATGACCTGAGCATAAGTTGCTGCATCATATCCATTCCATCGGTCCCTTTTACCATCATAATCCAGTTCAAAGGTCTCAATTTTCTCATCTGGCGCAATATTCCTATTGGTCCACTTTGCTCCAGTTTTGCGAGGCCTTTCCATGCATGATTTTGCATTGTGAGTCATAGCTCCACAGCTGTAACAGCAGAGAAATCTTGATGAACAAAATATACTCTAAACCTAATTCAATCTTAAGCCGTTCGTTACTGATGGGAAGCTAAAAAAAAGGATCAAGTGAACTTCTAGAAGCTCCTGGAGGAAATAGGTAATGCTTGGGGAGGTGAGTTTCCCCCAAATCCTCACAATATGCCCATAGCAAAGTAGTAAGAGCAAGGATGATACACTAGATAGATGCATACACTGAGTGAAGAAAGGAGGCAGAGTTAACTTACTTCTCACATGCTCCTTTACGGAACTTATCAGCTTGAAATGTTTTGGCACCTCTGTCGTACCATGATTTGGTGTAATTTGGATCCGACTTCCATTTCCTTTGATGTTTCAAACTCTTTAACACCCAAAAAAATCAAATTTTGCAGTCAATTACGTGACAAATAAATTGCCAAAGATCAATTTGACCAAAACAAGGAATCCCCTTTTCTTCCCCAAAACAAACCGCAAAAAAAAAAAAAACAAAATAAGTAGTGAAAGATAATTTGGTAACTTACGGGTCTCTCAGCATTGAGATACCAAGGTGCTGACGACATATACTGAGGAATGTGGGGATTGATTTCTTTGCCATCTTCATCGACCTCCGCCGGCGCAAGCCCCGCCTTACGCGCCTCTTCTAATTCCAGCTGCTTTCTATGATCCTCCCTAGACTTAAAAGCCACTGCAATTTCATTTGACAAAACCACCCACCATCAATCTCACTTCCACAAAGAAATCGGCTAAGCTATGAAAGAAGAGATTTTCCCAAGACATTTAATTAACAAATACTGGTTGAATCAGAACATCTATTATCAGGTTAATTCGGATTAAGAAATCTCGATCTTGACGCTATAGCACAAAAAATCAATTGCATCGAATTACATGAAACAAAACATAGATATTCTGTTGTGAGAAGGGGGGAAAAGTTGAATCGATGATTATCTGAAGTGGATGCAAAGATTGGGATACCTGAAGCAGTAGCCATCTTTAGTTGCCCACAACCGAAGCTCAGTTACAGAACAATTTTGAGCGAAGAAGAAATTTGGTGTCGACTTTTAGATAGGGCACCCAAAACCTAGATTGACACTAAACTGCTCTGCATCCCTAGGAACGCGCACGCCCAGGGGAAGAAAAGGCGAACAATCCAATGTGGTGACTCGGCGTCGGCCAGTATCTAATACGGCTCTTACGATGCCGTTTAAGGTTTTCTTGTTTTTAATGTACGTATATATAGTTTTGGGTTTGGGTCGGTTTAATCGGAGCACTGTAACCGCCTTATTACACCTGACTTCTGGATTTATATATAGTTTTCGTTTTTTCAATTTATATATATATATATATATATGTATGTTACTTTTGATTGGATTATTAAGTTTTGTGTGAAAATGTTTTTAAGGAAAAAATTTTTATGTGAAAATGGTAAGCTACAAAAATTGGGCATGTTCATGAATTTAATTAAACCATAGATGGTTTCTAGAGCTCCGTTTGAATTAGTTGTTTTTTGAGGTGTTTTTGAAAAATTTTACTGTAGCAGAGTTTTTAGAGTATATTTTTGGATATTTTTA